ACTAGTTCTAAAAATGAAGTATTTGGAATTTAACTAGCTCAGGACAAACTGATAAAGAAATAAAAGAACAAATAATAAAGGGTAATAAGATCGCTGGCTGTCTCAACTACTCAATATGGTATAATAAACATTTAAAACACGACTCGAAGATTAGAATACATCAATCAATAATTAGACCAATATTAACATACGCAGGAGAAACAAGAAGCGAAACGAAACGTACCCAACAACAACTTAAGGTCGCAGAAATGAGTTTTGAGAAAAATTCAAATCACACTCTACTGGATAAGGAAAGAAACAGAAACATCAGGGAAGAGTGCAAACTTAAGCTCATTACGGGTAGCAGACCGAAGAAAGGAATGGAACGATCATATTAAGAGAACGAAAGAGAAAAGAATCGTGAGAACTGCTAGGGATGCTGCTCGGGTGGAGCGCAGTTTGAATGGAAATTGAATTAAAATGAAGCGACATTTTGTCCTACACCGTCTTCTAGTGGAGTTACAACATTAACAGCACCTAAACCTTCTGTTCTGGCGAAACCCGGCAGACGTTGTCCTGCTTTCCATCTCTCACTCCCTCCCTCTTTCTCCTTCTATCTTTCTCTCTCACTCTTCGTCTCGATGTCCCTGTCTGCTTCTCTCTCTGCTTCTGTTTCTATCTCTCTTTGTCTGCCCCTGTATCCCCCCCCTCTCTCTCTCTCCCTCTCGCCTCCTATCCTGTCTTCCTCGACCTCGCCTTGCATCGCAGCAATGATGGAAACCAGTTGGTGCTCAGTTCGAATGGAAATTGAATTAAAATAAGCGCAATCTTGTGTAGTAGAGTTGCAACAAAATTAACAGCTTAAAAACCTTCTGCGTTAAACACACGTAATATCTATTCATACACTCCTTTTTGTGGAATCGATGTCGATTACATGTCGTTGAATTCACTTTTCGTAAATATATATATATAAAAAAGAGAGAGATTTTGTTTAAGACAAAAATCTCTATCTTCCATTTCGTAGTTTTCAAATGTTAAGTGTCTGCAATTTTCGGAAATAAAAAGTGTTCAACGAAAATGACGTTCCTTCTCCTACCCACAGAAAAGTGTTAAAGAAAAAAAAATTAAATGGATTTTGAGAAATTGCATCAATTTCAAGCGCAAATTAAACGAATCTACTCTTTTTTTCTTCAAAAAACTTGTACGTGACATTTTATAAAGAGCTGAGTTCTTATAACAGTCTTTGTCTGACGCCAAAATTGCTATCGTCAATTTAGTAATTTTGAAATGTTAACTATTTGCAATCTTCAAAAAAACTGTCAGATAGGCAAAAACAGGACTAACACCATATTTTTTACCGTCCTTCGTACATATGGGGAGAAAACGTAAAGAAAAAATTTGGTGCAGCAAAAGAAAAAGTTGACCTTTTTTAAAAACCGCCTATACGTAGAGCGGTTTTTAAGAATTGTGTTTTTTAAATTGCCTATATTTCGCACAAAATTACAATATTTCTCAGATTTTCGAAAAGTTGAGCATGCCCTTATTTCAAGATTTGTCTTTAGGGAATTTATTTCATAAAGAACAAAATCTTTATCTTCTTTATTATAGTTGTAGGAAGACGCCCAAAAAATTGTACTTTTGCAATTTTCAAAAAGTCTGACATTTTAAATGGACACGAGACCTCCATTCTCTTAAGCGTCCTTTCCGCTATCAGACAAAAAAAACTAAAAATTTGGACTCCAAATTAAAATATTAGTTTCAAATTCATAGGGCCGCAACATTAATCAATCGATTAGAGTATATCAATTTTGGAAAACATTGGCTGAACGGTTCAGACGTTAGCGCTGACCACAGACAGATAGACTGACGGCAATCAAAGACCCACAAAACATGGATTCTGACTACATAACGTATTAGAGGTAATAATTTACTATATATACAGACAAGATTTATCGACATTTTCGTTACCAGGGTCGGGCATTAAGTGTTTTCGAGTTGAAAATTCGATATTTTTCCCCGCAGCACAACATTTCTTGCTCTTTACTGCGTAAGCATTAGCAAGAATGTTATAAATGTTAAATTCGAGTATTTTTTAAAGGATTAAAGGGGGAAAAAATGCTCAAATAAAGCATAACAGATATTGTAGAACCAGTTCAATATTGCATCGCATTCTATTCTCCAGATAAAAAAGGATATCGGGAAACGTCTCTCTATTAACAATAAAATAATAGTATTAATTATAAAAATTAAAACAATTACTTTGTTTTTAAGGAGTTTGAATGGACAAATATCTCGAATAGATACGTTTTACAAGTGTTAATATGAACTGTAATGATATGGAGGTCAAGGATGTAACTTCTTTATTCTATCCTGGATTCTTTGAAACTGAAAGTATGCAAATGACATAGAAGTCACTTCATCTCCTTGCTTTGAAATATTTTCTGATTCTGATTTGTTATGAACATGTCTGCAGTAAATTAAGGAGGTAAACACATCACTTACGTGATTTTATAGTTATTTTGAAATTATTTTGAAAGAAAAACAAAACCAATGCCTTTTAAAACACCTAAAAAATAATACTATAAAAATAATTTCAATACCTGGAAACGAGATAAAATATGAAGTCTACAGAATTTACGAGTTTCAAACCTTTCGATGTTTTCGATTGTCTAAACAAAATATAATAGAAATTAATCTTCTTTTTCGAATTGTATAATATCACTTTCTTCTACATGAGATCTCAATTTTTTCTACTTATGTGAAAATGAAGAGATGGAAAATTGAGGCGTTTATTACTTCTGTGTATGTGTGTTGCTGAAAGTACTAGTTAATTGAATATTTTCTCTTCATGATCCGAAAGAAATTACAGAAGCACTTTTTTGCGTTTTTTAAGGACGTATAATAACGTATCGGAATGATGACCATGACGATGCTTTTCAGAAGTGATTAGTACGAGTGTTTTAAAGCAGGTTTGATGATAAACGTTAAAGAAACCGGCTGAAGAGGAGACCGACAGCGGTGACTCACCGTGCGCGCCGGGGGCGGGGGGTGGGGGCCCGGCGAGGCGCGATGCGGGCGGCGGGGGTTCCCCGAGGCGGCGGCGCAGGCTCGGCGCAGCTGACGGGCGTGTTGCCCCGCCGCTTCGCGTTTCCGCGGCGCGTCCCTGGCCCAGCATTGCGCTGCACGAGCACGCGGTTGAGCGCAGCGGCTCGTGCGGGGCGCGGGGCAAGGCGGGCGGGGGGCGGGGCGGCGGGCAGCGGCGCGCGCCCGAAGCAGCGCACCGTTTCCTTCTCGCTGGCGCACGGCGGCGGCGGCGCGCCGGGCCCGGCGTCTCGAGAAGAGGTCGCCCGCGGCGGCGCGGCGCGGCCGTGGCGGCTGCTGCTCCCGCAGCCGCTCGACCGGCAGCTGCGCGCCGCGCTGCGGCCGGGCCCGGGCTGCCGCTGGCAACGGAGCGTCCGGGTCAGGACACGCGCCGCCCCACCCCTCCGCTCCCCTCAGCGGCCCCGGGACTATCTGTCGTGGGTGGACTCGGCCCGCGCTGGCGCGGTGCGGCTGCGCGCTGCTTTCTGCGCCAAGCCGCGGAATCGGCCCGCGGCGTTAGCCATAATACCTTGCACCACCACTCTCCCATGTTTTATTGTATTGCATCTTTTTTCCACCGAGAAATGTTCTACCGAGGAAATTGTCGCTTTTCACACAATGGGGGAATAGGATCTAACGTTTTCGATGAAAATATAAAAAAGTAAGTGTTCCTTGTGTCATATATTCGTTTTTAAGCGGACCAGTATATCCATTTTGCTTTTAAAAATTCACCACTTGTAAATTTACTCAAAAAGAACTACAGACGCACAATCTGGGCCTTTAGTTGAACTTTCGAAAGCACTATACATGGTAAATGCTAATGCAAGATGCTCAGAGATAACTTAGAGTTTTTGCTCTATTCACTAAGTTGTCATGTATAAAATACAGAAGACTCCATTTAACTGTAACATGTTTATATTTAATTTAAAAGAAAATTAAGCTTTACAGTTTATTAAGAATTAATAAGACGAATTTAATACAACTCCCTTTAGCGTTTTCAAAGTAGAAATATTAATGAAAACGTCGTTATTCATATACTACACCTAAACTAAATATGGCACACGACAGTTTGAAACGATAACACAATCATTTTCAGGAACTATTAGTCAAAACACTAATTTCCGAAGTGAATGAGGTGTACAGGTTGT